GGAGCACGCTTCTGTTGTTGCTTGTTTTTGTTGTTGTTTTGCAGGTTTACTTTCGAAATACAAATGGGCGTTCCCCAACGCGTATACTGTTCTATCGTGATGGCGTTTGTCAAGAAGAACAAGTCGAGAATGTATTGGTAGAGGAGTTGGCGGCAATCCCAAGAGCATGTGCAGACATTCGTCCTGGCGAAGAACCCGCGATCACTTGTAATATTGTTACTATGAATTCCGATAAATTTTTCTGACATTATAAAGGATCGCTGGTTCTTCACCAGGACGAATATCTGCACAAGCCTGCTGTGCATGATTCAATTTCCTGTTCGGTGTAATGTGTGTTACGCTGTTTGTGATTTTGTTTCATGGGGTTCCTTGGTTTTCCCTAACTTGAAGCACACGAATAATCGCAGGCTGCTTTGATGTGAAGTAATCGTGCAACTTAGTGAGTCAGATTAGTGTGTATGTTCTAAGGTACTGTGGTTGTACACAGCTCAGAAGAGCTTTTAATGTGGCCTTTCTCGAGGAGGTGATTTTCGACAGTCTGAAGAAGCATTTCAGTATGATTTGGTCACCGTTTTCATTGTTTTGGAGGTTTAAATTGTTGTTTCGCTTGCAGATCTTCACAACCTACTGAGTATCCGACATTTCAACGTAGCCCGTCAACATGCCGGTGAGTGTATATTTGTCTTTGTCTAACTGTTGTTTGTTTCGAACCGTGTACATACGAGTGAGTGGAAATCATCATTGGATTGAGTTTTGACATTTGAATACGAGTTAGCACAGACGTGACTATGCGTTGATCTTGTGATGTGTGAAGGTTTCACCGCTGACCGAATCTGTTAAGTAAAAATACCTGAGAGTGTGATGTTAACGTTGACAGTGTTTCGATTGTGAAAGCTACTAGATGAATTTAGAAATAACACTGTACATGTGTATTGTGTTTCATCCTTCAGGTCACGTGTTGGTGATATTTCAGGGGTATCAAACAAGCCTGCATGGATCACGCATGTACCTCGTGAACGTAGTGACATTCCATCGTCATTACCACTGGAAAGCGAAGTTGAAAAAAAAAAAAAAAAAAAAAAAAAAAAAAGCCTATGAAGAAGGCTGTGTGAGTAGTATTCGTTTTGTCTTTCCAGATTACACAAGATGATTTGTGTTGCTGCTGCCTAACTGTCTAATTTTGTTTTGATTGTTTCAGGTGTGACATGTCTTGTGAGCTTTCAAGGTGAGTTGAAATGGAGTAAAGCGTAAGAGAGATTGGCCTCATTGCTTTCTTTGATTGGCGATTGAATTTCTTTACTTCAGACTTAACATTCAGAGGCCACTGAGAATCCCAAACAGACCAGATGAAGGTGGCAGAGTCTAGAAGACGGTGAGAGTTATTACAAACTGTTGGGACCTTGCTTTCCATCAGAAAATGGTATACATGTACTTCGTTGAAGCAATCTCAATGTATCGTCTGAACTCAAAGAAGGGCAGTAAAACGGAGATAGGAATGCCACCGAGAGAATTACGATCTCTGACTCAACAAGTAGCCAGCTCGTAAGTGCCATTACGTTTTCATCTTGAAATACGTTGTTTCCATATGTGATGAAACTTTGTGATGTGTATATATTGAGGTCAGTTGTTCGTCTGACTTGTAGTGTGTGATTACTACTGTTATAATGTGCTTGTCAAAGACAACTTGGTACAGGTTTGGGATGACTTGATTCATGTTCTACGTGATTGACTGGGTTACCTCGGCGAATATCAGACGCGTTCATTAAAACATCTTTGAATTAAATGTATCAATGTAGTTGAAGATTGAACGATCAATTCATGGTTGTTTGCTCAAAACCAACTTCCCCGATTTTCGTGGAGGCATCAACACAACAGTCATCGTCTCATCGGTCGCTGTTCAGAAAGATGTCAGGACAAAACCGTCAGAAGTAATATTGTGATTTATTATTGTAATATTTGTTCATAGACCTTAGTTTTAAAGCTTAATTTTAAAGTTGGCTGTATGTTGGTGTTACAGTAAAGAATTCACAAAGGGCCAATCGGTGTTTTGGTTTTTGCGTCCGTTATTACTAAGCGTTTCTGAGAAACTTCAAGGAACAGCGTGAGCCCGAGTGACGCAAGAGCTGTGCAGTAACCGTTTATGAGACGCGCCTGACACATTCTGACGGTACGACGTCAGTTTCTCACGGTTTGGAGTGTTCGTGAAATGTTGGATAGTCACCGTTCATCTTCCCTGGTGCCGGTCAAGTCCTCTTTGAACAAGCAAAATCTGGAACTTTTTTGGAATTGGGTCAAGTTCAAATTGGCCACTGAGGATACCAGATGCGAAATGAGCGCAGTTGACATTCGAATACAGTAGATGGTGCATGATCGATTTGTAGATTAGAACTAATCAAGTCTGCAAAGAATATATCCGTCAGTATATCGCTGACATTATCATTATGATTGTTTGAATAAGTCGTTGCTTGTGGTTCACTAGATAATAGGGGATAGATTTCCTCCAAGTTATCCCATATAGACAGGAATAATCGACGTTGTTGATTATCCCAATAGGAAAACCAATGAATAACCATCCGAACAGCTCGAAATGGTGGTATTCGTAGATCCATAGAACAAATGATATTCCAAGTAATTTTCAAACACTATAATATTTATTGGGTTCTTGGTAATTACTTAGCTAGTTAGTTAGATAGGTAGAAAAATCAGGGAAAATTGAAAACTAGTTAGTTATAGGCAATATAATAACACCAAATATTTTTTGTTGGTATCCATCTTAATAACAATAAAAAGATACTGCTCACTACCAGAGCGCTTAATGACCCAGACGGGGAGAATTAAAAGGACAATAAGGAAAAAGACAGCGGGAATAGCAGTGTAAGTTGTCGATACTTTAATTAAGTTTTAATTAATCTTCCTTTGCTCCACTAGTTCCCTATACTACTAGTAAATTACGCAGATAGTTATAATGCATAGTTATGCCCACCTGACTGAATTATCGTTCATTTAAAACAAGCTTGGTACTTTATGGGCACCAAGAGATGCACTGGGGGATACTGTCCGGAGGCCCAGACCGAAGCAGGCGGTTATCTTAAGAGGCCAGACGCCTACCGCCTTTTAACTTAAAGTTTGGTCTACAAGGCAGTGAGTGGGGCAGCTACCTACCTTCCCACGATTACCAGTAACCAAAACAAGCTGATACGCCATCAGACACACTCGGATTGTGGAGATCATGTGCACCATAGGTTTGCAATCACGGTATTTCAGCTCCCCTGAAAATGTCCATCAATTCAGTTATAAGCACCAGACGTTTACATTCACTTTTGCGAAGAATACCCGTGCCGCATGAAGGCAGTGGTAGTATGGCTGAGACAGTGAACGAATAGCTACATAAAGGCATTTCGTGAGGAAGACCGACCCACCCTCTGTCGTATCGTACCAGGTTGTTCATGAGAGGTTGAACGGCTGCTGAATGAATCGAAACAGGTAGTTGAAGTCTTGGTCGACTGGTCGGCTCCATGCAGCATCGTCACAAAAAAGTGATGAAGTTTGAAAATGTACCGAAAGATAAGAGTCTGCTCAGCTTAATTCAATACATACATTCAATACACTAGAGAGAAAAAATGTAAGAATAAATGCGTTTACATCTGTCTGTCTGTCTGTATCTAACAAAGTCTCCCAACTGCTTGCTGATTTTTCTTACTTTCAAGAGACAAACGTGCACACAATTCTGACTACTACTTAAGTCCCATTGATTAATTATTTAGGCTCAGGAGCCAGAGTGATTTTGATCTTATAGTCTGTGTGTAAAAGCCAACGTTTTCGTCTAATGTTATCACTACTACTAATACTATACTACTAGTAGTAGTAAGTACTACGACAACTACTAATTATGATAATAACAAAAACGAGATACACAAAAACAAGAGGATTTCGTAGTCACCTACCGTTGTAGACTCTTCTCCTTGCAGAGGACAAATATGAAATTGTTAAACACTAGCAAAATTAGTCCAGTGTACAAACAACAGTTGTGTGTCAAAGACAGTCAGTCCCCTTCACTATAACGATACAAAACAAAAAGAGGAAAACACAACACAATGAATAACAACCATTAAGAGATAGATGCAAAAGAAACATCAGGTATGGACAACAAACAGCATCATGAGCTAGCAGCTTAGCAAGGATAAGTTGGCACTAGTATCTATCTCTTGCCACCTTCAACAACACGATGCTATGTGGCAGGTAGGTACTCTGTGAGAGTTGAAAAAAAACAAATGTTTCTGTTAAATAATATCACGTTTATTTAGATTGGTTTTTAACAATACCTGCTTGTATGGTATGGTACTGATTCTCATTGTGACGAACAGCTAGCTAGATGATAGATAGTTAAATAATATAAACTATATATAAACAAAAATGATATTAAGAAGCAGCAATCACAGCCAATCACTAGCTTTAATATACAAAACAATTCAATACTCTTAAGTACATTACAATTGGAATTTTAACAAAGTATCCAATATGGTGGAAAACAGTCACAAATGAATATTACAGAATGTCGTGTTAATACAAACAGTAGAAATAGACAGTATTTGAAAGAATCCCGGTGGTTATCGTTAAGGTGGTGGTGGTGGTGGGGGGGGTGGAGAAACAGAAATACGAGAATAAAAATACAACAAAAATGTATGAAAAGAAATTACAGGTGTTGGAACTGCTGCATGTATGCGTGAGTGGGTGCGTGCGTGCGTGCGTGCGTATCTATGCATGTATGTACTAGTATGTTTGCAAAATAATGATCACTACTCAAAAATAAGTCAGTGTAAATAGGAGGGAAAAAAGGCATAGGATTGCTTCTCTGTTTCAAAAACAAACAATATTAGCAGAAATCATCTACAATGAAATAATCGTGAAAAAATCTAAGTTAGTCACCTACCTACCTACCTCCTCAATGAATTCACACACACACACAACTAAAAACTAAAATATAAAAATATAAGATATCGCTAACAAAATTGAATTGTGAATTGTAAACCTTCTCGAAGAATTTGATCATAACACGCTTGCAGTGTAGTCATTAGATAGGGTAAGAGACCACCACCAATAAGCGATAAGTGTTCCGGTGACAGTTGTTCAATATACGCTAGTTCAGCGCCCAGGTACATAACACCAACCCAGATGACAACAAATTGAATAATCAGCAATAATTGATCAAGTCCAGGCAGCAAGTGAGACAAAGTATCCACTGAGCATATTGATGGATTTCTACAATTCCCCACCTCATCCAGCAATGTTGGAACACGATTCCGGCAAGGCTTACTTTTACTGATAATCTGTTGTTATTGTTGTTGTTGTTAGCCAACACATGCACACAGATTTAATTGGGTAGGTAGAATAAAAAAGAAAGAGGAATAAAGCAAAATAAGAATAATCGTGTAAACAACACGCGTCAAGTACATACTGTTTGTTAAAAAAGTACATGAAAAGTACATACGAACAGAAAATCTCCTGTTCATCAGAACAGTGTGTCTGTCGTTTGTACGAAAGCACTATCTAATCAAAATCAACCGTAGAAAAACAACACTGATTCAATTGACACGAAAGCAATAACAATAATAATAACTAAATTCAATGAAATACAACATTCTGCTATGAAATCCACATGTGAAGAGGAATCCCAAAACACAATTAACTACCTTTCTAGATGTCCCCTCCTGACAAGAAAACCAGATAGTAGGGCAGTATAAAGAGGAATTTGCACAGCACAGCACAGCACAGGAAAAGCACATCGACCGGACAATATACACATTTTCATAACTTTGCACCTTCCCAGTACAAAAGAAATTCAGTAAAGTTCCTCAGCCACAGGGTCAGAGCTATATGCATGCTCAGTAGAGGCAACTGAAGATCAACTAAGGATTCTACACGAAACCTTAATTGAAAATAGCTATCCAGACAAATTTATCAAGAAACACATGACTAAGATAGCGGAAAAAGACTACTCACTATCCGTAAACAAGAAGCTTTTATGCACACGACTGCAATTCAAGGGCCCTATACCTAGCGAAATTATTATGAAGAACTTAAGGAAATCAGTTCAAAGAACTTTTAATGCTGACAGACTACAAGTCTCATTTTCTACACAACCAGTAGTTATTCCCTAAATGAAAGATGAAGTACCCGGACCAGCTAGCAACTTCCAAATTGTATCTACCAATTCAACTGCACTTGTGATGGAGTGAGTTATACTGGCCGTTGCTCTAGGCACTTGATTTTTTGTGCTCACTCGAGAACATCTCCCCAGTATGGCTAAATAAAGGTGTAGTGGAAACCATCGACAGTCCGATATTAGACCACCGCCTGGTCCAAACCGGCTGGCCGCAAAGTCAGCCAGCATTGAAGAATCTTTCTCCATCATCATCATCATCTATCGGGTACCAAACAAATTACCAAAAACATCCACGTACCGCATACTCCACACGCACACCAGAGGCTATAGCTATCGATTCTCCTACAACAACTGGTGCTCTGTTTGCAGAAGAAGCAAGTCCAGCCACTACTAATGAATGCCCTAGCCGACCTTCAATTGAGACTATAAACTCACGAATCTGTATCATTATTTCTCCTAATTTACCTCTCTGACATTAAGCTTATTTTTATGTTGATGCCATTGAACTGTAATTCACTGATATTATTATGATTATTACGTACTGCTGAAGAGTCCCAAACTAGGACGAAACAGCTGTCCAGTACTCCCAGGTTTTCCAATGGTTCTCTAACTAATGTCAGCTCATGACGAAATCCTGAAACCAATCGAATCCCTACAAACCAACACTTGAATTATTATTATTATTGTTGTCGATTCGACGTTATTTAAACAGCAACACTAATTCATTCACTATTAAGTATATAGAACCTGATGAAGAGCAAGTTATCGCAATGAATATTCTCTATTCAGTAACACCACCGTTTTGAAAAAATTATAATGGGAATTTTTAATCATTTCTACTAACCAATAGTTATTATTCCACTAAAATCTCACTTCAGAAAGCCATTCACTATAATTTACCGTCTAGTGAAAGAATCTATGCGTCAACGAGATACAATCAATGATAAAAATAATTAATATTGTTACAATCTTAACTATCCAATTACTAAACACTCTATAAGACAGACATTCTTGACTTCTCCTTCATCATGCCTACTGACATGATTCATATTTTTATTCGAGTTCTAAGTGAAGTATAAGGCTTTAAGCTTTTGAAGTTTCAGGGATGTTGTTACTTTACGGAGTAGGTTTATCAGCACCTCTGATATAAGAATAGAACTTGTGCACTGTGGTAGAGTAGCAAGCAATACCACCATCTCGCCTAGCTTCCCCTCTGTGCCGGGCTTACTACTCCTGTAGGTAGTAAACCGGATGACGTTTAGTAGCGTGTCGGTTGAGCGTCGAACCCGGAGTATATGCGTAGTTATCAATCATCAGCCTACCATTGAAACAACGAAGACGTATGATATGGTCCATAAACACAGGAAAATAATCACAATGTGAGATGATCCTCTCCATTAATGTTTCCTTACAGTCTCGTCAACTCTAAAGTACTGGTATCAAAGATTCAAGGTACACTGTAAAAAACAGCATCCAACCAATCTTTCCAAGATCGCTGCTAACGAAACTAACTACTTACTAGCTAATAATTATTAAGAAACAATCTAGCCTTCAAAATAATAATAATAATGATAATGGATGTAAGATATATTGGTTATATGTTGCAATTTCATTCGGACAACAACTGGTTCACTCACACTTTGGATTAACTTAAAAGACGAAGAAAGAGAGAGATATTAGAGTTAATGTAAGTACAGCCACACCTAATTCTACGATTAAAAACCTGGATGATTCTAATGAGTAACCACCACTTATTGAGGATGTTTTCCCCTCCATTTGAATCAACATGTGTACCGCTTCCGATTACAAATTAGGCTGTACTGACTTAAAATAATAAACGATTAGCATGTTTGCTGCTTTTCATTGGAGGAGATCAAGTATTTACTAAGAGAGTTGAAAAACAAACACACACTTTGAAACAGACAACACATTCACATTTAACCTGAATGAACTTGGAGCTAAATCAAGGAGATCCTATAAAAAAAAAAAAAAAAAAAAAAAAAAAAAAAAAAAAAAAAATATATATATATAGTTTTATTCAAACTGGGCTATATGAAGAAAGACATCGCTTTGGCAGGCAGACAACTCGAAGAGGAGCGAATGATTGCCAAAAAAGGCAAATCGATTGTACGTCTTGCTAACAGCCTTGAGAAAGAGTGGATGATGAAAACGAAAGAAATCGAAAAGACATCAAATCAACACTAGATAATATCCACCAATTATTAAGGCTTATAAGCAAGATGCGCCTCACCAAAAACCAGTGATAATCACAACAACACCTTTGAAGCTTATATTTCCACAGCTTTTAAGAAGAATCCGTTCGAACACTCAATTTTGTACGACTGAACCCACCCAACATTTAATGGATTTTGACAAACGCTGTAAAGGCAGTCTTTAATCTGAAACCAGCTAATGCAGAAGGCACTGATAATTTAGCCTCGAAAGCTGATACAGAGTTATTCATTAGACAATAGACATAAGTATTAACCAAAAGTAGATAGTTAGTTACTCAATACCGTGATAAAAACAGATGATCCATCACCTTGATATTAATACTGGCATGAAAAATAAAGAGCTCATCAAGGAAAACAAGACTGAGAGAACTTCCCTACAGAAGATTGTTGATCAAATCTTCGCTATCCGACAGGTCCTACCTCATACATAAAACTACCCACCAACAGGCGATATTTGTCATATCTCCCAAGTTCTAAGCGAAGATTGAATCTCATTAGTCTGAAGTGGTTAGAAGATGTGCAAAGAACGACGAATCAAAGCCTTTCTCAAAGAGCAAAGCAACCAAGACCAGAGGGGAGCGGAGAAGACAGGAATAGTACAAATTGAAGATATCACCCACCCCCACCCTCGAACACTTAGAATCGGCTATGTAGGCACGTTTCAGTTGCGTGTCTAGGTGATTATCAGAATAATTAACTACAGAAATTAGGATTATTTATTTATAACAGCACAAATATATTCACTTCTTATTATTATTATTTTCTAACTTCAATAAACAAATAGCTAAAGTTGATTAAAATTAATTTCTTTTCCTACTTCATATCCATGTTTGTTCATTACATACAGTAAGACCTCATTTTTGTGTGCTTTCGATAAATTCAGCCAACTTGAACCAATGGAAAATTCTGTGCAAGGTGCTTCATTGATTCATTTTCTATCATTATAAGAGTAGTGTATCTTAGTGTGTGTGTGAATGCCAGTCTCAACGACAAAACCTTCAAATCTCTACCCCCTTAAGAACGAATATTCCAACTAAGTGAATTCATCGATCCTAGACCGGTTTCTATACTAGCTGACTTGTACACTCATAGCCAACGAGTAATACGTTAGACTGGATACAAGATAGGAAGACAGTGTTAGTACAAATTGTAAAACAGGTTGACAACGAATCCATTCAACTCAAATGACAACAATCAAAACAGACAAAAACTTGAACTACCTGATTCTCAAAGTTCTTTTGTAGTCCATATTTTTTAATAACTTTTCGTTAAAAACAAAGGATAACTATAGGAAGACTGTTTCAAACAAAGATTTCAAGAGTAATAGGACGAAAATAAACTAGGGAAAAAGTTAACAATAAACACAGGACCGCATCAATTATTTATGTAAGTGCAACAAGTGGTTAGTGGATCTCATGGAATCAAGCTAATTTAGGTTCAGGTGGCTGGCTGGCTAGTCGCTACTTTTACGAACGGCATATGTGCGTGCTTCAACTGAAAATACGTCATCCTGCTCTAAACAAGAAAGGAATTGACATGAATGTTATCGGAAAAAGAAAACATCCAAAAACGAGACTTAACGTTCAGATTTTAAGGAGTATGACACTATGCGCAGTCTGTCTTTTGACCTATTTCTGAAACTAGAGAAGAAGACAGACGTTTAGCGCAATTTTCTAGTTGCAAGTAAAAAAAAATTTAATAGGCATGCACAGCGATAGAACATTGATAGAATGCTTGTCAACAACACACACACACACAAGTGGTCCGGACTCAACCCTCGACCGACGGACGCATTCTTAAGCATCGCTTGACCACCGGTAAACAGTAAAGGCTAGTGGTTAGGCGTGAGACTAGCGATCCCATCCTGTTGTAAAACGACAACAACATCACCGCTACTGAATCTTCAAAACCCGAAGCGCAAATATTCCACTCGGAATGCATTACATTATTGTTATTATTATTATTACTCCTTTGGGTTCCAAGTGGAACATACGGCCTCAACAAAACATCTTCACTGTGTTCTATTTTCTGCTGTCTTTTCCAACTGGCTGACCCCCCCCCTTAATTGCCCCTAATCTCTCATCTACTCCTACAACTCAAACGATCTTCTACACGTCACCCTCGCAGCGACGACCAACTCGTCGTTCCCTATTGGCATTCCACTCAAGCAATGGCCTCGGGCTCCATGTCATTCAACGGTCCTATCAACGCATGCCCCATCCATCTCCTCCTACATATTTCTTCGGCGATTGGCTCTTGGTTGGTTTGTTCCATTGCAGAGTTTTTGTTGCTAATTCTTTCTGGTCGGCTGGCTGACCATTTGTTCATCAGTATGAAGCGAAGGAATGCATAAAGAATGGACAAGAAAGGCAAACGGTTAATACGCAATAACTTACCTGATCCACAGTAGCAAATGTCTGATAAATAATTAGAAGCTTTTCAGTTGCAGTAGTTTTATCACTATGAGAAGGAAAACACATAACAGTTTAAGTTGAACTTCAATTCTTTAGAACAAAACAAACAAGGTTTATGATATTCTTTTTTAAACGAGCGGCGTTAAAACAAGTGATTGATGAAGAAAGCAAATTTGGAAAACTTTTCTATTCTCACAGACATTTGATTCGAGTCTTGTCTGAACAGAATATGTAAGTACTTTTCATATTAGTGTAAGCATGTCTCAAATTTGAGTAATAGGACAGTCTCGTTTAAAAAAAAATTCAAACAGAACATGTCACGGTTTACTGGAAATATGCCAAACTAGCTTCGTCGGATTCTACTAATGGTGGAAACAGACGAAACATCGAGAGACGCATCATTTAGAAATGCCTTAAAATACATGTGTATGCCTCTCTCTCTCTCTCACTCTTTCTTTAACCCATCATTTATGAAACCTGTTTAGAGGGAGACGGGTTATATACTTAAAGTCTGTGGAAGCCTGAGTAATTTAGGAAGCTTCAGCCACCGTATTACGTGTCCACAAACAATTTGTCATCATGCTAAACCTTCTTTGATAAATCCAATCCAGTTTACAACCAAAATCGATGCATTATCATCCTCAAATATCTTTTAACTTTGGTAATCTTCACTGTTATTTTCACCTTCAATATAACCTTTTATTTGAATTATGTTCAGTGTCTTGTCTGTTAACGTTTCATCATATTATGCATATATGGGTGGATGCCTGTGTGTGTGTGTGTGCGATCCAATTATTTGAAATGTGTTGCGCAAATATATTACACAACTCAGACAATTGTATGTCGCCAAAGGAAACTAAATTATCCCCAAAAACCGAAGTGATTGTAGTGAAATCATGAACTAGACAAGCAGACGGGGTATCAATGCTCATTTGGTAGATAGTTAGACTACTAGTCTGATTACCAATCCAGGTTTTCACATCACCTTCAATAACTACCCAGTACATGCTTTACGAGCTCTCGTTGTAACCGGAAGGTCCTGGGTTTGAACCCCAGTGGTTGCGCACTACTGAGATGAATAGTAGTAGTCTTAAGGTGGGACGAAACAGTTGTCCCGTAGTCCCAGGTTTTCCAATCATTGTCTAACTGATGTTAACTCGTAATCAAACCTTAAGAAAAAAAACACTAAGCATACACACACTACAAAGAAGGGGCCTAACGTTACAACAATAAAACAAAAAAGTAACTTGCATTTTTGTTGACAACAGCCACAATTACAAACAAATGGGCTATTAGCAATTTCAAGAACGTAATCTGACACTTTCACACCACCTCGTAGATTCTGTTATGCAATAACAATTTCATTCATATTTTATTTGTACGAAAATAAAGGTGTGAGCCAGGCGGTACACAACCTTAGGGTCACATGACCAGTAGCAATCAATAAAGAGCACCACTACTTAAAGTCAACTGGATCCGATAGTTAAAAAAACAGTGTGATTTACATTTCATATGATCGATTCATTTTGGTTTCATAGTCAGACTATCATTGTAACCAACTCGTAGTGTCCTCTTGCAGCATACTTTATCTAGGAACGTTAGAATGTATGTAGTCGCTAGAAAGAGTTTGAAAAAAGCGTTTGAAAAACCAATCTCTCTCTCTCCATGTAATAAGCCAATAACAGTTACAGTACTCGGTTTACGCCTGTTGTGTCACACACAAACAGACACATACAAACACTACAATACGATTATGAATATTCACACTTAACATAGAGTAGGACAATATAATAAAAGCAGTTTTTTTCAGTGCAGTTGCCGCTGACCTGATGCTTTTTATGCAAGTCAGAAGATGTCCAGGACGGCTACTGTACTGTACTGGTAATGTCATTGACTTCAGCATGGAATGAATGAAGCAGGGTGGAACCTCCCTCAAAAGCGGTATGAAAATCCTTCAGACTTAAAATATTTGTTGCTGATGTGTTCCAGTAAGGTGAGGTAAGGAAAACCAAGTAACGCAGACAGACAGAGACAGAAAGCTTGCTGGTCAACAGAAGGTTAGTTCTAAATGCATTACGACGACAGACATAAAATGGAAAATTTCGACAACAACATGAAAAACTGAATTTACTAAAAAAAAACAACAACAACTGTACAACAATTGTCTGTCTGTCTGGCAAGTACATAACACAGTGTTACTTGACTGCAATGTGACAGACGAAAAATAAAGTAAAGTGGAAATATCAGAGACACGTGCTGAAAGAAAAAAAAGGAACCGGAATGTCTTCTCCTACCAATTGAGGTGAACTAGAAACAAATTCATACTATCTGCATACAACAAGTATTCTTTTCTTGGACAAAGCGGTCGAAGTTTTTTACAACGACGCTTACAAGAAACATCGAGTATGTTATTTGCCAGGAATGTATGGTAGGAAAAATCCAGTTGTTGTTAATCACCAATAGTGCCAGTTGTTGTTGTTCTCATCTTCTGGATATTAATTACACACTTCAAATGAATTAAACGCTCTAAAAACACAATAGAATAATAACAACAACAATTACTCGGCACTGAGTGCAGAAGTATACGGTTCAGAGATTCGGCGCATGCGTCATCAAAACCATTTCCAACAGGTTACCACCACCACCGCCACCAACACATACTTTCATCAGCAACTGCCCCCTTCTCTCGACACTGTTCATGAGACAGTCACCCGGAGACGATAAGTTTGCCCTAAAGGACACTAACAGAACTTACCAAATCCTACGAAGAATATCTACAGCTGGATGAAAGGCGGAAAATTCTTCGGATAATGGTGTCTAAACAAAAAAAGAAATAATCACATGACAGCGAATTGTATATTAGTGAGTGAATATATATATATATATATATATATATATGTACAACGCTGATGACAAAATGGAAGCCTTAGTGTCACGATAACATCTTCTCCTCTCCCTCACTACGTCATTTTTACCTTGTTATAGTTTATAATGGAAGGCAATGCTGTTTACTTGTGTATATACAAAACATCTGACTAAGATTTCTATGTAGTGCAGCTTAGCAAGATATGCAACTGCTGGTATTAAGACTAAATGTAACACTGATTGCACAAAAACTCATGGTACCGGAGAGATAGATGCTGACAGTCTAAAGAATGTTACTAGGCTATAGATTCAAATACACTGCAAAATGACCAAATTCAAATTCCAGTTCACTTATCAACCTACCTATGCAGTTGTTGAATAGCAAGCAGCTTAGCAATCCCTGTCGTCTTTTTGTTGTCAGTGTGTAGCTGTATGAAAACGTTGTAGACTGACTACTAATAGTCCGCTTAAACTATCACCGAAGTGATTACAGATACAAACAAGATTAAGAGGATCATAGGCAAGTATGATATGAAGATAAAGTTCCGTCCACCAGGGACAAGAAAAGATGCATGCATACATGCATGCAACGACAGATTTACAGTTCAACCATAGAAGCACCAGTATCCATCTATTCTACAACGAATATTCTCTTTAACAGGCAACAGACATTGTTTACTTACCCAAATCACTATGGAAAATAATGAAGTCCACAGACATCACACACACACAAATCAGAATTTCCAATCTGTTTTTAAAAAATATCTACATGAAAAATAATATGACGCCGACAAACATAACTGCACTATGGACAACAAGGTACATGCAAATTGATTCACTCACACACGCTACAACCAACTGCAATCTGAACTCAGTAAAGGACGAGTTCTACCATACACTGTCTAGTTGGCTGGTGAAGGCCAAACACTCAGATACAGTTATTTTAGCATGTGATTTCAATACTCACGTTGGGAAGCTATGTAGGTGAGAAAAGTATATTGGCTGTACCTTTGGAGTCCCATACCGACGAGAATTGATAATGGCGGTTGTCCACTCTATAGGCTTCGATTATCACCTGTTACTCGTACGCCCTAACTTCACATACAATGTAACAAGACCTTGTCTAATATAGTGACTTCCATCATCAAATCAACGATGAACTGAAATAGGTCCTGTGGCTATTTATAAGATGTCGGTAGAAGACCACCGCTCTTTCTACAACACCTGCGTAAAGACTCCGATCCCGCTCTGGCTCCTACACGTATATGCCTGCGACTGAACAAACATAAAACACAAGGAACTATGATGCTCACACGCCTCAAAACGTGATTAAAACACGAAGTCTATAATCAGGGAAGAAATATCCAAATGCATACGTGAGATTGACAGCTACACTCATCCTACACCCATGAAATCTTCATATTTCTCCTGTATATTTCCCTATACTAAGGTTCTTTTGATTACTTTTTTATTTCCTCTACTTTTATGTGCTACACGCAATGTAGCAGCCTCAAGTGGAAGACTTCTGTGCAAAGTTCTACGTTCAAACTCAGCCAATCAGTTTGATTCAATCAGGATTCGGGTGGCTACTGTTAAATTACTGTAGGTGAACAACACTGGTCTGTCTAGTTAGCAAACAGTCATTTAGGAGTAATTTTGTGGATGCTGACTAGCAGTTGAATCCAGGATGGGTACTTCATCCTCTACTTCAGTACTCGCTACCTGGATTAACCTGCAATCCCAGTAAGTGATGATGTTCCCACTCAGGCTCAAACCCAGTGAACCCATCCTTTCAAACTCAAAATCGTTATCCACTAAAACACTTGCACGACGAAGCCTCCATACTAGAAGCCAAACACTTCGGTTCAAAAAATCATTATCAACGAGAAAACAAAAACTGAATTTAAAACAAGTAATATTTCAAAAAACTGTGATCATTTTTCTTCGCACTTACTTGTCTAATTCAAGGTAGGAATAAAGCACAAAGTCAGATTTACAATGTAAAGCTTGACGGTAAACCCAATAGGATTTATCCAGCATAGCGTATTGTGCTTTAAATAATCCAAATAAAGTTGGATAGATATTCGGTAAGAGACAATCACAAGCCAATTCAAATAAACTGATTGATCTGAAGATGAAACGAAGGCGGAATTAACTGTACACAATCGATCTTAGGTGTCTGCGTTCTATCTCCCGTGTAAAATAGTATAATAAGGTGTGCAACATTCAGGTGAGTGAGGGGGGGCTGTGAAGTTACATTGACTGAGATGGTTAGGACATGTGTTACGCATGCATTTCTAGCCATCGCCTTACTCGACGGGCAATGTTAGCTGGCTGACATAGAGGGTCAGGTTGGAAAAGAGCCAGCCAGTGGTGGTCAAACCAAAACGTGGCTTCATCAGTCAATAAAATCCATAACAGTTGGCTTAAGCCAGTTACACAGGGAAGTGTAGACTTCCTTGTTTGGGTTCTCGGGACGGTAAACACCAATGAAGGCTGGAGACGATTGGTGATATGGCTGTTGAGTACGTAACAATGTGATTGTACACTTTTTGGTTACTTGTATAAATTCGAGATATTGTACATAATTTTTGTTTAAAACGCTTCTTGTTGAAATATACATAACTTCCGTGTACAATTGAAAAATACACTCTGCTGTTGGAGACTTCGTCTTCTCCCTGGTTATTTCTGCTTACTTGCTCAACTCACACCGTGTTGTATACTTCGGATTTATTGTAGGAGCCTACTACTCTCAACCGAAGACATTTCTACAACCGGAACACAGCAGCTACAGCAGACGCAGTCCAAACAATTAACGTGCCCGTGGATTATATAATTAATTTGTAGCCGAGGACTTAGACGTTATCTTCAAGTAATCCTTTTTGTTGCTATAACTCGTCACTGTATTTTTGGTAATATATCGTGATTTAACACTCCACTGACTTGGATTATTACTTTTATACTTGGAATGTTAGTGAACTCTAATATTAGTCCCCTACAAATTAATTGGTGAGCCCGATAAGAACACGGATTATTTTGGCATATTCATATTCTTATTTTTGCTATTTTGTATATTCATTGTGATTTTGTGTGTGGTTTATATTTGTATCCTAATTTGTACCAATAACCCCATATTCATAATGTCATCACCTCAGTCCGGTACATCAAATGAGCAGACAACTAATAGCGAGACAAACGCCACAATAAATGCCATCACTGATTTTCGTTTACCCCAATACGGTTTCGCAGAACCAAGGATTTGGTTTGCGGTAATTGAACCGTTGCTAGAAGCACGGGGCATTAAGTCCCAAATAGCCAAATATGGTATGGTGCTGGCAGAACTCCCTCCGTCAGTATTGACAGAAATCAGCGATTTCATCGAAGATCCTCCGACGGAACATCAATTTGATAAACTTAAAGCCCTCCTCATACAACGTACCAGTTTGTCGGATGAGAAAAGAATCCAACAATTGCTCACAGGCTGTGAACTAGGCCCACGTAAACCATCCCAGCTGCTCAGGCACATGCGCCAGTTAATCGGACATCATAAAGTAGACGAGGTAGTGCTGAAACAGATGTGGTTGCAACGTTTACCTAGAAATGTCCAGCAAATTTTAATCATCTCAGGAAAGTCGTATGACTTAGACCAACTAAGTGACATGGCAGATAGTATTATGGATGTTTTATCTGATAACACCATAAGTCACGTAGCATCTGATAGTGCCACACCGTGTCATTCCACACCCACGGCAGACACACCGATACTCGCCGCCATTGCAGACTTAGCGGCAAGGATTGACAAGTTGGAAACTAATAGGTCGGATCGACAAGTCCGGAGGCGGAGCTCACAGAGAAGGTCACCATCACGACGACGATCCTTCTCACGACAGCGTTCTTACACGTCTTCTCGGGATAGCAATATATGCTGGTATCACTGGAAGTTTGGACGTCATGCCCTGAAATGTGTAAAACCGTGCAGCTTTAGCGAAGCCAACCAGGCTCAGGGAAACGCCTCAGCCAGACAGTGATGGCGACAGCTGTTACTGGCAATCACCACAGTCGCCTTTTTCATGTGAGGGATTTGACTACCGGCACATTATTCCTGGTAGATACAGGCGCCGAGGTCAGTGTTATCCCCCCCTCACTATCCAGGCGATCAGCCAAAATACCTGGAAAACTTTCACTCCGTGCTGCCAACCAAACCAACATACAGACGTATGGCGAACAGTCAATGATTTTAAATTTGGGACTACGCCGACGTTTCACATGGATCTTCATAGTAGCTGACGTACGTCACGCTATACTAGGTGCAGACTTTCTAAGTCACTTCAATCTGTTGGTTGATATCAGCAAGAAAAAACTGGTTGACAATTGCACCCAACTCAAGATCCATGGTATTACATGCGACTACTCTGTTCATAGCATCTGCATAGAAAAGCCGGAGAGTGAAATGTTCTCTGCTTTATTGCAACGATTTCCTAAAATCCTTAAACCATCATACAATGTCGAAGATATATCTCATACAGTTACGCATAAGATCATCACAACAGGACAACCTGTGAAGGCACGTCCACGACGGTTACCACCCGATAAACTAGCAGCAGCTAAGTCGGAATTTGAACATATGATGCAGTTAGGTATCATACGACCATCTAACAGCCCATGGTCTTCACCTCTGCACATGGTACCTAAAACTAATCATGACTGGCGACCATGTGGAGATTATCGCGCTTTGAATAACGCTACGGTACCAGATCGTTATCCTATACCTCATCTCCACGACTTCTCCTTGACCTTACATGGAAAGACCATTTTTACTAAAGTTGACTTGGTGAGGGCATATCATCAAATACCAGTCGCTCCAGAAGACATCGCAAAAACAGCAATTATTACGCCTTTTGGATTATTCGAATTCTTGAGAATGCCTTTCGGACTAAAGAATGCTGCTCAAACATTTCAGCGTTTTATGGACCAAGTTACCCAAGGTCTTGATTTCGTCTTTGTATATATCGACGATGTCTTAATTGCCAGCTCATCGACGGAAGAACATATGCAACACTTAAGCTTGTTATTTCAAAGGTTTGAACAATTTGGAGTTGTTATCAATCCAAAGAAATGTATTTTTGGTTCCCCTTCCATTGAATTCTTAGGACATCGAATAACTGCCGAAGGCATCAGACCTACCGAAGATAAGATAGAAACTATTAAGAACTTTCCCGAACCTGATTCCTTAAAGAAACTTAGACGTTTTCTCGGGATGTTCAACTTCTACCGACGTTTTATTCCATCATGTGCCTCCATAGTTCAGCCACTGACCGACCTACTTAGATGCAATTCGAAGAAATTTCAGTGGTCTGAAGAAGCAAAAGCAGCATTTAATAATGCAAAAGATGCCTTATCCAACGTCGTAATGTTATCTCACATCAACCCAGAAGCTTCACTCATTTTATGTACAGATGCATCACAGGTAGCAGTGGGAGCAGTTTTACAACAAAAGTTCAATAATGACATCACTCCACTTGCTTTCTTCTCCAAGAAATTGGAACCTGCGCAAACTCGTTACAGTACCTTTGGCAGAGAACTGTTAGCCATCTACCTAGCAGTGAAACATTTCAGCTTCTTACTACAAGGTCGACATTTTACTATCTTAACCGACCATAAGCCTCTTTGTTATGCTTTCACCACTTCGTTGGACAGACACTCTCCGAGAGAAGCCAGACAACTGGATTACATCTCACAATTCTCAACAGACATCCAGTTCATCAAAGGAGATTCCAATATCGTAGCCGATTCCTTGTCTCGATGTGACGTTAATCATCTATCTTCGATAGATATTAGCCTAGACAATATTGCCAAGCTGCAGAAAAATGACGCCGAACTCCATACTTGTAGACGAAACTCCTCCCTACAGTTGCAGGATGTACCTATTCCCCTGTCTGATACAACTATCGTCTGCGACGTTTCAACGGGCGTTCATAGACCTTTTGTTCCACTAAGTTGTCGAAAAGCATTGTTCGAACATTTACATTCGCTTTCTCACCCTGGAGTACGCGCCACGGTCAGACTGATCAGCGAACGCTTCGTGTGGCCTAAAATGAACTCTGACATTCGGAGATGGGCACGAGAATGTATCCAATGCCAATGCTCCAAAGTACACCGCCACACTATTACAACCCCGAAGACGTTTAAATTACCGGAAAGGAGATTTCAGCATATCCATATAGATATCGTGGGACCATTGCCAACATCAAGGGGATATACACATATCCTGACAGCGATTGATAGATTTACTCGTTGGGCTATTGCATGCCCCCTAAACGACATATCTGCTGAAAACGTTGCTTTAGTTTTTCTCGACCGTTGGGTGTCAAACTACGGTGTACCAACTACTATTACATCCGACCGCGGTCCTCAATTCCAATCGACACTCTTTCGCGAACTGACGAGACTTCTGGGAGTGAAACATATCTCCACAACAGCCTATCATCCGGCAGCGAATGGTCTAGTGGAAAGATTCCACAGACAACTGAAAAGCTCCCTGATGGCGCAGAATGATACATCTAAGTGGAGTGAATACTTACCTTTGATTTTACTTGGTATCCGTTCTACTATCAAAGAAGATTTAGGATGTACACCGGCTCAACTTGTCTATGGCACCAACCTAACCTTGCCTGGACAGTTAGTCCCCTCAGCCGATTCCACAGACGTGAACATTGCCGACTTCACTAACCGATTAACTAGACAAATGCTTCAACTTCAACCAACAGCACCTCGACAATCTCCCCGAAGAGATCAGATCAACAAACATCTACAAACTTGCAAATTCGTCTTCATTCGAGTCGACGCCATCAGAAAAGGATTGCAACCTCCATACGAAGGACCCTTTCAAGTTATTAAACGTTCAGACAAACACTTCACAGTGAACAAGAATGGAAGACGAGAGACTGTTTCAATTGATCGAATCAAACCCGCATACACCGACAACGACTTCGAATCTACATCGGCAGCTGCGCAATCAAATAATCAAACATCCGAATCCCCTCCACCGGCACCAAGTCTTATCCTCCCTCCATATCACACACGTAGTGGTCGGCAAATCAGTAAACCGGCTCGCTACGTTCATTTTGAGGACTAACAAAAGAAAAATAATTAAAAATTATTATTATCTTTTTCGTTTAGACATTATCATCATGACGGTTAGTATTTCGTCGTAAACTTTGATGTTACTATCACTATTATTTATTTATATGTACCTCACCGAAAAAACAGGTAGTGTCCTTTCCAAAAACTATTGATCTTTAATCCATATTTTTTTAAATGTTTCTTTCCCCTCCTTAGTTACTGTGTATTTACATATTTTTCTTTATACATTAAAAATCTATGTTCATGGTTAGTGCAAATTTAAGTGACATGACTTTCTCTTTCAATTTTTATTGCTGAACCAATTGTATATGCTTTCAGACTTTACATGACTCACATACCTTCTCGCGTTTATGCATGTTGTAATATATCCCTACTTTTATCCAAAAGTTGCTATTACTATTATTATTTACTTCATAGTTTTACTTATCATTTCCCGGTTGTCTCTCCGGACCTCTAGGGGGGGAGCCGTGTTGAGTACGTAACAATGTGATTGTACACTTTTTGGTTACTTGTATAAATTCGAGATATTGTACATAATTTTTGTTTAAAACGCTTCTTGTTGAAATATACATAACTTCCGTGTACAATTGAAAAATACACTCTGCTGTTGGAGACTTCGTCTTCTCCCTGGTTATTTCTGCTTACTTGCTCAACTCACACCGTGTTGTATACTTCGGATTTATTGTAGGAGCCTACTACTCTCAACCGAAGACATTTCTACAACCGGAACACAGCAGCTACAGCAGACGCAGTCCAAACAATTAACGTGCCCGTGGATTATATAATTAATTTGTAGCCGAGGACTTAGACGTTATATTCAAGTAATCCTTTTTGTTGCTATAACTCGTCACTGTATTTTTGGTAATATATCGTGATTTAACACTCCACTGACTTGGATTATTACTTTTATACTTGGAATGTTAGTGAACTCTAATATTAGTCCCCTACATGGCTCAAAATCGTTGTCAATGGCTGGCCCACATGCATCCACTCCCCGTGACTCATGATTCCCAAAGAAACTATATTGTTCTTCGTTATTACTATTCTTTTTACCTCATATCTCTGTTTACTGTCACTATTTTGCATTTGCTGTTACTTTCTTCTTCTTTTCTTGCTTCGTGTGCTACATGGAGTGTGGCGACTCGAACTTCTGCACATCGGTGCAAAGTTATATGCTGAAACCAGTCAGTCAGTGAACAATCGGAAATATATAAGGATAAGCAGAAGATAACGAGTGTGTCGGTGGTACAGCAGTAGAATGTTTACCAACTATGCCAGTGGTGTGGGGATCAGTCCCCGGCCGACGAAATCCCAAACCTCACTCAGTTGGTGATAAGCCAGGCGAAAAGGGAAGGTTGCACGTGAGACTAGCAACCCCATACCGTAAAAATGAAACCACTGCTACCGAAACTTCAAAGCTGTAGATTGAAGCCCTATGTTCCACTGGGAACGTAAGGGAATAGCATTTTTTAAAATAGAAGCTTATGGAACAACCATGAACATAAAAATCAAAGAATTGACTACATGAAACGCCTAATACTTTCACTGATGCGTTCGCAATCTAACATAAGGTCTCAGCAGCACGTCTCCATTCCACTCGATTCTCTGCCATCCCTCCCTTTCAGCTGGCTGAATAACTTTTCACAAGCTTTCATTTTCCCCAATACGCAATAAGGCATAGCAGCATCACCAACAGTACAGTATAAAAAAGAGTCAATCATAAAAGTGAGGCATAAACAGAATATTAAGGCTGTAAAGTTCGAGCAGAGAGAAAGAAAGAAATGCATAACGTTTGAATTCAGGCCACGTTGACAAATACCCCTTCAGAAGTGGCGAAGACCACACACCGCTTGTCACCAGGAGACGTTATCCTGTTTATACCATCATATGAGGAGACAGACGGAAGAGCGTTAACACTCGAGAACTTCAAAGATGTACACATTGGGATAAAGATTTCAGCGCCAAGACACAACAAGACAACGACTGAGAGAGACAGAGTGACACCAAAATGGTCTGAGCTACTCCACCCAAGAGTTTTTGACAGGGGAACAAGTGTGCCGCGTGTGCTACTGGAAACATTCTAAGCAATATATTGTGTGTCATCTGCAAGATGTTTAAATAGAGAAGCGACAGATCGAATAGCGAGGATGGGGAATGAAAACCCTTGTGAAGCAGTAAACAAAGAAAGCATGATAAGAAAATAAAAGAAATCAACAACTATGAACAACTGTGAATGAGAATTTCAATCTAAGGCTTTTGTGTTTTGCAAGACTTTGAATATCATCTCATGATATAAACAGTTCTGTGTTAACCAAGTACCCCTGTGTTCTGCCGTTACAATACAATACAATACAATCTAATCCAAACAACACAGTCTTATCATCTATGAAAATATAACTTCTGTTTAAGAAAAGCAAAGAAAGAAATAAACGACCAGAGAAGGTAAACAACTTAATAACGAAAAAAAATAATAATATTCTAAACTAACTTGAAATAAATGATTGACATTATCAATTTGAAGCACCGGTATAAATGCCAAGTGCCGAATTGAGTTTCTGCTGTATAGCTTGAGCAAAAGTATGCGCTAATCTAGCGACAAGATGAGCATATTCACTAAGAGCTAATACAAGTTGTGTATGTATTATTGAATAGTTTGGATAGGGAGAATTGAATTGAATTGATCCACCTCAGTTGATTGATGATGATGATGACACGATAACTGTTTTATACTGTTTATTGTACAAGTTATATGAAAACAATCAGCCAATAGTGAACTGATTAATCGTAAGTATTTAAGCCATAAAGGTGAAGATGTAGGGATTTTCAATATAGGCTGCTGTAGTGTATGCAGCATTTCATCTGAGTGTAGTTCATTCAGCATATTACACAATAATTCATCAACTGAGTTTACTGCTAATCCTCCAAGACTAGTAGGCAAGCACCAGTTGGCTAACTTATTGATTAGTTCAATATGCTGATGATATTTATTGCTTTGTGGACTAATTACGTCATTCGATGATGCATTAGATGCATTGTCCAGGGATACACATTATAAATACAATGTACATAAATACGCATATGTGAGTATAATTAATCTCCTTTTGGAAAGAACAATCGATAAATAAGCTGGTGTTACAAGAGTAATTATTACTTGCAAACCATTGCGTATTGGGTAGTGAATTAGTCAAATTGGAAAACTGAATGACAACAAATGACACAGACAGATCAACTGAGGTTTATCGAAGTCACTCGACCCCCCTGCCTGCCTGCCTACCTACATTATTATCTATATGTTTAAAAATAAGGCTAGCAATCAATCCTGTGAATAATTCAATTATCAAAATACTATAATCTTTTCATATCTTATTCTAACAGCTGTAGAGCGGTCCAATAACCTTTGTAACGTAGTCAGATATCTTCTAGCCGCTATAGAAAATGCATACTGAAAAAAAAACGTGTACATGATACTACGACAGAAAACAAACTGTTTCGTCCTAGTTCGGGACTCATCGTTAGTACACACCCACTGCCAGGGTTCGAGCCCAATGGGTGTTGCTCGATTACAAGGCAAGCTCGTATACTGTTCAGCCACTGGGACCCAATTCGATGGCCCATGTATTCTAACTCCCACCAATTCGTGATATTTAGCGCGAACACCAACCAATGTCATCGGCGGGTCCCAGTGGCTGATTGGTAAACGAGATCGCCTTGTAACCAAAAAGTCCTGAGTTCAAACCTCAGTGGGTGCGTACTCCCGATGAGTCAAAAACTAGGGTGAAATAGCTGTCCAGTACTCCATACTGGTTTTCAAAAGTTTTCTAACTGATATCAAACCTTGGTCTAACCTGAAACAAATACAATCCCTACAGACTAATTAGTGAAAAGAAACCAAACTGATGTTCACATGACAATCTAATGAACACTTGATATAATCTAGATTTGTCATAATTTAATGCACACTTTATACACACAAGTGGAGTGATACGTAAACAAGTGTAAACCAAGATGAGATGCACATTCTCTAATTCATCATTAATATTACTTACAATAATAATAACAACAACAACAACACAAAAGTGTTTAGTATAGCTGAAAAGGGATGATTAGAAGAAGAAATGCAAAAGTAGTAACCTTTAATTATTTATACATTATTAATAATGAACTTACAGATGTCAAACTGTTCACATAGTCTGTCAAACATGACGATGAAGTAAAATTGAATAAGTGCATAGTGTTAATGACACAATTACGGAATAAACTATCCCAACGCAAATGAAATGGAACTGTATAGGAGGAGATTAATCTAACGAAAATGAAAAACAGAAAAAAATAGAATACTACTACTTCTACTATAGTTTCATTAGTTTTATTTCCCCTGCCTCTTTTATATGTGTTTTTAGAAAACGTACATGACAACCAGAATAGGTTTGATTTTGTACAGAGTTCTAAGTTAATAATTTAACAAATTTGAGATACTATGGTGTTCTGCAATGTGACTACGAAATATGAAGACCTGATTCATAGAATAACAGCGTTTACTCCTCAAAAATCAATCAATCAACATATTCAATGGAATCTTACAGGAGGTAAACTGTGTGCGTCGGTGGAGCAGAGGTACAGTGCTCACCAGTCATTCAGGTAGTCTGGGTTTCGATTCCCGACCGACGCAATCTCTAATCTCACTCAGCTGGAAATAAGCCTGAAAAGAAGGAAAGCTTGGGCGCGAGACTACGTATCCCACCCCGTAAAAATAAAACCACTCCTACCGAAACTTCAAAGCTCTAGCTTGAAGCTCTATGTTCCACTGGGAACGCAAAGGAATAGAAAAAGGTCAACTACCGACTGAATAACTCCACAGTAACATCTCTGACTCGAGTACTGGGTGATAAGGATTCGAATCTCCAAGGTGGACATTAATTCCTTCTGGCTTGTGGATATTTCTTAATTAAAATTGTCATTGTACACGAAAACCTCAGCGTCCTAAACCTCTCCTTCTGACTGCTTCCAAAATCGAACATCACTTCAAAGTGACAGTATAAGTCTATCTTGGTCTACTTACCTTTACAAGGTGTTATGTACTGCTGAGTAGTTAATTGTCCTAACGCGAAAACGGAAAAAGACTGCCACGTCCACGATGATGCGTGTATTTTCCAACCAAGGAAATTATCTGTCACATAAGTGTGTGGGTGAAAACGTACGTACCTGTACGAAAGATATGAAAGAGTGGGTAAAAGTGTACAGTGCAAGGGTATATAAGAAAATGACAAATACACATGAACCAATAAGTAGTTTTTTCTTCCCATCATTGGATTCTGATTGGTTGTAATGTCATATGACAAAAAGGTCATACATACATTAGTAAAATATTTTAGAACTAATCCATCAAATCTTGACAGTTCATTTGAAGGTCATACATTGTTTATCTAGTTAATGGACAGACAAGCATATTGTGAGTTATCATGGCATATCGATCAATATGCATACACACAGCAAATATAGGAAGCATCAGACTGTCAAGACAAAGTAGACATCATGTGACAAGGTCCTCCCTCAGGTAGTCGTTAAATGAATCAATGTTTATGTGTGAAAAATTATGCTTAGGGAAGGAATAGTGAATTGTAACTCAAATTAACCTGAGTACATTACATCTTAAACTGTGCGCATACACCACTCTCTCACTACTCAAGATGTCAGCTGAAATGTATGACAGTTTATAAATGATCAGCATATCCGAACTAAAAACACTCCTAATGCATCGTTCATGAGCCTTATCACAGACAAGCGGAATGGTCTTTTAGCGTTTTTTATCGCCTTTATCTTGTGTGCGTGCGATTTTCAACGCCACGCAATAGTACAAGGTGTACACATAGTGCATGAATCTCAGTATTATGGTGCATAATACACCCCCAAATACATTCAAATTTGAGAAAAAAAATTTTTAATTTGGATAATGTTTATTCACCTTGTCCCTACCCTATAAAAACAAAATACATATACTGTTTTAATTCCGGTCTTTACTATTATTGTTATTATTATTACTGCCCCCTTGCGTTCCAAGTAAAACGTCGGGCTTCAACAACACATCTCCACTTTGTCCTATTTCCTGCTGTCCTCTTCATCTATGCCCACGATTACCCATAATCTCTCATTTCCTCCATGTGTCACCCACTCGTTCGGATTCCTCTAGAGCGATCGATGGTCAGGTGTGCGATCTCATTCCAGTCTTTATTTATGGTGTCATGCTTTTGTTTACAGTTTAAAAAAAATCAGCATTTTCAGATTTTAAAAATAAAAAATAAAACACAAAACTTTCGCATATCTAAATTTCATGTGATTTTATCAGCCCAAATGGGTGTTTGGTAAATGTAGTTATCCGGTTTCTATCTACATTGACCATATGATCCAGCCATGTTGAAACTCCCAGTTAGAAATGAGAAACTAGACGAAAAAATAATAAAGTGATATTGAGTTTACTGAAATAAATTGTAGAGGAATAACTGAATTGAGGCTAGTGAGACAATTGAAAACTTCGACGGCTAGGTGTCAATAGGTGAGGATATAGGCTATTTCGAGGTGTTTTCACACTTAGCATACCAAACGGTACAAAATGATATTCCAGCTGTGAAAAAAAATCGGTAAAGCACCTTTGAAACAGCTAAATGTAACATCTGATACGATTACAGAATCCCTCTGAGAACATGAAATCAATGAATGAAGAAAGTTGAATCGCAATTGGCTGACTACCTGTTCTATCTGTTCGAGTATACTGATGTGAAAGCGTGATAGGTTTACAACTGGCGGATGGTGGCTAGCAGTGGAATCCAGGATAACGTACATTTCATCCTATTTGGGACTCGTCGTCTGGATGTACCTGCATCTCTCATTTGACGAGTCCCAAATAGGACGAAATGCGCGTTATCCTGGATTCCACTGCTAGCCACCATCCACCAGTTGTATACTAATTAAATGCCCAGACATTGTCGAAGCATCTGCACAAGAAGCCGACATGACAACCTGAGACCGAGGACTTCGGTCCAATCAGTCGACGGGAAAATCAAAAATTCAATTAAATAACAATAAGTGAAACAATCTCTGAGAAATTTCTGAGCCACCAATTTAAACTACTTCTCGGAACCCATCCAGAGAGTTGTAATGGTACCAACTGGCGCTAAACTAACACAAATATCTTTCATCACATGACGTCACATCATAGGCTGACCAACTCAAAGCTATTCCCATCTAGTCACGGGAGTAGCGAACAAAGACTGGGGTAAGGATGACCCTGGGATGACATTCGTAGCACATTCGTAACACAAACTACTGAAAACGATATTTCCAGGTGACGAAACTCAATATATGGTGACCGCGTCTATGCCCAAACACATGCAGCCAAACCTCAGAATAACTCACACGATGATACTATCGAACTCAACCAATTCTATGGAAACAGTAATGATTGAATACGCAGAGTAACCGCACATCTTCAGCCAGCTTTCACAAGTGTACAGCGCGATTAAGCACCGAAGCATTGCAAACCCGACCTACGAGAAACAGGCCCACTTGGTGTATGTCACCCTAGCTTTCACTAAACGTTTAGAGATCTCGTCCGACATACATGCCTCCTCAGCCAGCAATTAACACAAAACTTATGCTAGCCTGGAGGGATCGCTTTAACAATATCAACTGATGCATGAAAGCAGATAACACAACTTTAAAACACTACAATTTTAATCGCCTTTTTTATTTTTGAAAAATCTTGGTTTTGAAAAACATTTTTACTGGGGGATAAAATAATTGAGAATCATAATTATAAAACTGTGAGGCAGTACAGTAACTCCTCATTAAAAAAGACACTGCGAAGTGGTCGCGCTATCTCATGAATTCACATAAGTTAGAATTCATAGGCTGGCCATTGGATCGGGTCCCAGTGGCTGAATGGTCTACAACCTCGCTAGCCTTGTAACCACAAGGTCCTCGGTTCGAACTACTGGCCTAGGCTGTGTACTGATGAAGAGTCCTAAACTAGGATGTAACAGCTGTCCAATACTCCCTACAGATTTTCCAATTGTTCTCTTATTATTGTCGGTTCATGATGAAATCCTCCAACCAATCAAACGAAATCCCTGAAAAAGCAATACTTGAACATCATCATCATCATCAGTGTAACTAAGGTATGATAGTCGACGTTTAGAATTTATTTGCACTGTATACTGTTGAATATAAAATAATAAATTATACTAAATAGCTAGTCGCTACTTCATCGAAACAGTAGGCGAATAAAATTGACCGGAACTAAGTTCCAAAGAACCTCTCGCGCAGAAGTGCATTAGCTTAGGTGGCCAAACAAAAGTAGGGAACATTGATGTGCAAAAATATAGCGGAGAGAACAGTAACACGGAAAGATAAAACAAACAGTGATTGCACCTGCTCCACTGACAATGATTTTGAACCATGCCACACCAATCGTCTCCAATGATTGGTTTGCAGCATCCCCATGACCCTAGTCAGGCAGTTTGGTTGGCTGAAAGCAACTGTCAAAGACTTCATGGTTTAATTCCAGGCTTTGGTTTGCCCAACCCTGACACACTTTTCCAACCTAATAAATCCTATGTCAGTTAACGTTGTTCATCGAGTAAGCCGGCGGCTCAACATGCGCAACACTTTCTCTAGTCACCTCA